CAACCTCGGTGACAGAGACCAGCCCAACCTCGGTGACAGAGACCAGCCCAACCTCGGTGACAGAAACCAGCCCAACCTCTGAGCCCAAACGCAGCACAACCTCTGGTCCTACAATGAGCACAAGCCCTGTTCTCAAAACTGAAACAACCCACTTCACACCAGTGACCATCCCCTGCCAGCCACAGTGCAGGTGGACCAAGTGGTTCGACGTGGACTTCCCGTCCCCGGGGCCCCACGGAGGAGACGCGGACACCCTCGGCAATATCGTCAGAAGGGGAGGGAAAATCTGTCGCCGGCCCGAGTACATCACGCGGCTGGAGTGCCGGGTCGAGAGCCACCCCGAGGTCAGCATCGAGACGCTGGGCCAGGTGGTAGAGTGCAACATCAGCAAGGACCTGATGTGTCGGAACCGGGACCAGAGTGGCGAGGTCGGGATGTGCAACTACGAGGTCCGCGTGCTGTGCTGTGAGCCCCCGGAGCACTGCCCTCGTACTTCTGTGGCGCCTTACGCGACTCCATCCACCAAGCCCTCGTCCCCTCCAGAACCGACCTCCGTGGTGTCCACCACGACGTGTTACTGCAGTGTGTCTGACAAGTTCTACCGCGCAGGTGTGTGCTGCCCGGCCACTGTGAGGGAGAGGGAGGGGTCCTTTGTCCCCGTGACTGAGCCACGTGTTGTCCCCGAGGCGGCAGTGAGCCGTCCTCTAGGATTCATCCCGTTCGTTTCTGGGCAGGAGGGCCTCCTACCAGGTCAGCCCTCGGGGCGGACCGCCACCCTGCAGGGGCCAGTCCGCGCTGTGCCTCTCCCCGCCCCCTAGCATGGCCCCGCTGACACCCGCCTGTCCCCTTGTCTGCCAGGATCCATCATTTACAACCGGACCGACCTCGACGGCCACTGCTATTATGCCACGTGCAGCCTGGACTGCCACGTGGTCAGGACGCACTACACCTGTGCCAGCGGCACGACACCTCCCGTCCCAACCACCTCCCCGGCCGGGTCCTCCCCTTCAGCCTCCGCGCCCGTCACCGCGAAGGGGTGCCCAAACGCGGTTCCCCCAAGAAGGGTAACTCCCCCCTCCCCGCCCACCGCACAGGCTGGTGCAGGGACCCTCAGCGTCTTTGCAGCTCGGCTGAGCGGGAAAGTCCGTGGCCTCGGGCCGAAGCAGGCAGGCGGGGAAGTGGCCGGTTCTGGTCACTGCCGGGGGCGGGTCCCGGCCCGGCAGCTGGGAGCGCGTGGCCTGGGGTGGAGGCTCGGCTGGCTGCGGACGACCGGACACCCAAGCGGGTGGTCCGGGCTCTGGGGGGCGCTGGGCGGCCAGGGAGGGTGTGTAGGGTCGGGCGGAGCTCCGGGAGTGGAGGCCACGTGTAAGGAACGGGGTGGCGGGGGACCACCTCCGCCGCCCGGAGAGCCCCCCTCGCCAGCCGGGTCCCCTCCCGCGGCTCCTCTCTCAGGGGAGCCCGGCGCCACAAGCCTGAGGTCTTTCCTCCACAGAAAGGCGAGACCTGGGCCATGCCCAACTGCTCTCAGGCCACCTGCGAGGGCAACGGCGTCATCACCCTGCAGCCGCGGCCGTGCCCGCAGATGCAGCGGCCGGTGTGCGCCAACGGCTACCCGCCCGTGAAGGTCGTCGACCCCGACAGCTGCTGCCCGCACTACCGGTGCCAGTGTGAGCCGGGGGCCAGGCTGAGGGGGAGGGAGGCACCTGGGTTAGACACCGGGAAGGCCTTCCGGACGGCAGGGCAGGGGACGGACGGTGCCGGGTGGAATCCTGCCTGAGCCCCAGAGCCCGCGGGGCGGGGGTGGGAGGGGGCCCCGCGTAAGGCCGCCGCGTGCCCGCAGGTGTGTGCAGCGGCTGGGGCGACCCCCACTACATCACCTTCGACGGCACCTACTACACGTTCCTGGACAACTGCACGTACGTGCTGGTGCAGCAGATCCTACCCGTGTACGGCCACTTCCGCGTGCTCATCGACAACTACTTCTGCGGGGCGGAGGACGGGCTCTCCTGCCCGCAGTCCATCATCGTCGAGTACCGGCAGGACCGCGTCGTGCTGACCCACAAGCCCGTGCTCGGGGTGATGACCAACGAGGTGGGGAGCCCCGCCCCGGGCAGCCCCACGCGGACCGGGGCCGGCCGGGGGCGCCCCTCATTCACTCCTCTCCTTGGCCCGCCGCGTGCGTCTAGATCATCTTCAACGACAAAGTGGTCAAGCCCGGCTTCCAGAAGGACGGCGTGAGTGTCTCCCAGATCGGCATCAAGATGTACCTGACCATCCCCGAGCTCGGCGTCCAGGTCATGTTCTCCGGCCTCATCTTCTCGGTGGAGCTGCCTTTCAGCAAGTTCGCCAACAACACCGAGGGGCAGTGCGGTGAGCGCCTGTCCCCGCCGGGCTCTGCCCACGCCGGGCCCTTTCTCCGCTCCGTGCCTGGAGCTGGGAGCGCCTGGTGCGGGAAGGGTCGCCTTGGCCG